TTCTTAAATATCAACGGTAATGCAGTTTCACTTAAGCTGTACAGAATATAGGTCAAAAATGTAAGTCAACCAATAATTTTTATGTGTAAAATAGTGATTAGATTCTTCTAGGGAAATCGCAGTATACTGTCCATTCGAATCAAAATGTATTCAATAGATTACTGCCTATGGATTCAAGTTTGTTTAAGTAGCCACAACATCAAAGTAGCCATCGTGTACTTAGAAATAATTGTGAGCGTATTGAACGATTAAAATTACACCTTATATGCTGAATGTAATTCAAGGTGAAGATAGGAGTCATTTCATAAGGTTCAGGTGACCATGATTAATACATGTAAGCGCCACTCTCAAACAATTCTTATGCTGTATGCTACTTTACGTTCAACACATCTAATTCAAAAACAGGGGCGAAATACAATTGGATTTGTTGGCCATCTCACTTATTTGAAGAACTGTACTCGTTTGATTGCTGAATTATCCCCATTATACTAATCGCTCAGGCCTCTGTTTCGATCTAGTTTACGTCTACGAAGTTAGACATGTGTCGATTAATATGATGCTGTAGAGATGGGTCGTAGGTCAAAGGTGATGGGGCTTGAGACTAACGAATACCAAAATGACTCTTCGGAGTTAGTATATACTTAAAGAAACCGAAACAGGGCATGCGTAAACCTATGAACCTATTGACCACCGATTTGAACCAACGTTTGGATGGAATCTCTGAAGACAAAGCAAAAAAAGCTTTAAATATCACTTCTCGAGTTCAGTCACAATGATACGGATGGATAAATACCTCGTTAACCCCTAACAACTACTCATTACCTATTTCATAACAAGATTATTTCATAGAAACCAGTAAGTTAGAACTCATAAGCTTAAGTCTGGTTCTCATTAGTGCTAATCAGAACAATCAGATCTCAAACATACAAGAAATCTGAGATTTCATGAATACCCTCAAACCACCATTAAAGAGAGAAAAGGTGTCATTCAAAGCTGTCCTAATCAGGAACACAGATTTAAGTTGTGACACTGCTTCAGCAGAAACAGAGGTGTTGAATGATAATTCTAGTCTATTGTATAAACTGCAACGATTATTATTTCCTTTTATTCCTAGAGGAACATAGGGCTTCAGTTACACGTCTCCATTGCGTTCGGTTCTCTGCTAAAGTTTTCACCTGGCTCCAGGTCTGCCCACACGCTTTCATCTCCTCTTCACATGACCTCTTCCAAGTCACCCTTGGATGACCAACTCGCCGCTTCCCTTTCGGGTTCCACTCGAGGGCCTGTCTTGTGATATCACTTGATGGTTTTCTCAGAGCATGGCCAATCCACCTCCATTTCTTTCTACATATTTATAGTGCAATCGGTTCCTGGTTGGTTCACTCTCACAGATCCCTGTTGCTGATCTTTCCTGGCTGGCCATCTGATCTTGAGTACTGAGCGAAGACAGCTGTTGATGAAGGTTTGTAGTTTGTTCGAAGCGCTCTTCATGACGCGCAGTGCAAGTCTCTGATCCGTGTGGTAAGCATCACTGACTTCACACTGCAGTTGAAAATCCGGATTTTAGTTTTCATGCTGAGTGCTGTTGACCTCCAAACAGACTTGAGAGTAATGAAAGCTTGTCTTGCTTTCCCGATCCTTGCTTTGATAACCTCGCTAGTTCCGTCCGCCTGTAGTTGAAACGATGTCTCTCAGGTAGGTAGGTGAAGGAGGTTGTTTCTTTCAGGTTCCTCCCATTTATGCTGATTGTTGTTGTTGCTCTTATTGTTGCCCAGGAATCTTCATCACCTCTGTTTTCTCGATGTTCACCTGAAGTGAAGTCATATCTTCGATGCTTCTTCTTCGCCAACTTGTTGCTTTTCACTTGCATATCTTCCACTTTGTGGGAAATCAGACATATATCATCGGCGAAGTCCAGATCCTCCAGGTTTCTTGTGTGGGTCTATTCTATGCCTGTCTCCTCGTTGCCCACTGTCTGTTGCATTATCCAATCTACCGCAATCAGGAAAATCATTGGCGATGATTAGTCAGTAAATATTGAACAGTACTAAAAAGTAAAACACTTAACTATCCTAAGTACTGATTATCCACGTTTAACACTTCGCAGTCCTATGAACATATAAGTGATATGAAGCAGTGATATTTTCATCATATATAATGCTACGTTTTAAACCTTTAGACTAAATGTGGATTGTAGAGTTATAGGTAATAAGAGAAAGCGTAGAAACTAATGACGATTTGTTGGATTTCTCGTTAAATGCTCTAGGCAACTGACCAGATAGCGGGTTTTATTCGTTAGAGTTAAGGCTGTTAAGTGACTTAAAATACTACCTTGAAGTGCTTGGTGTACCCACTGCCTTGCTCAGATTGGGCGCTGTTCCAAGGTCTTTGGCATGTTCGTTCCTCTCTGAGCACGTATTCTTTAACTATTCTCACATTTGAAAAGATATCATACATTAGTATGATAATAGAATGCATGTTATCAAAGGATGAATTCACCAAAGTCCTACTCTAATGATACTTCCCTTAAATTTTTAGTTATCTTTTGCTGGTATTTTGTTCTACGCTAGATACTAAACAACAATACCTCGCGTATGTCGCAAGATATCTAACTATGACCTGAGTTAACTACTGTGACAAAAGTCGGGCACATTCACGGATGTAAATACAGAATCAAAATTGTGTTTTGTTTTCTTTCTCAGCTTTATAGATTTCAAACCATATAAGTCATAATTTCCTTGCAGATTCTGATGTTAATGACAGTACATGGCACCGACTGAAATGTACTATAAGAAAAAAAATGTCATTTTGTAACCACTGGACTAACCTAGGTTCGAGTCTCGGTGGAATTCAAGGTTTATTTTAATCACCAACCGATATCAGCTAGAGAATCATTAAAAGTCTCGGAGGATTAAACACTGCTCAGTATTAGCCAGTATCCACAGGCCTATAACATATTATGCATGATTAACAATCCGGTGACTAGCTTCAAAACAAACTTCTGAAAGTTTTAAGGAGAAATTCTACGAAGCTGCACACTGGTGGAACTCATGAACAATTAGATTATAATGCAGTGACTGGAGAGTTTTGAACTTCGTGCCTCCCGACGTAATAGTTACGTAAAACGAAAAATAAACGGGATATAATAACTGTTAATTATTCATTTTGATATTCGTTGGTTCTCCAGATTTTTTTCATTCCTTTACGTTCCCAGTGGAACATAGGGCTTCAAACCTTTAGCTTGAAGTTTCGGTAGCAAGGGTGTTTTTTTTACAGGATGGGGTTGCTAGCCTCATGCTCAACCTTCCCTCTTTGTCAGTCTTACTACTGGCTTATCGAGGTAAAGGAGTGCGTCGGCCGGGGATCGAATCCCGGACCATGTGTATGGTCGGCGAGCGTCCTAACCGCTGTGCCACCGACGCACGGCTCTCCAGATAGTATCAGTTATTCAAAGAAAGGCGAATTTTTGTCCCACTTGATGTTGAGTAAGTGTATAATCTACAATGTACATTTTTTCCTGTTTAAGACTCTTCAACTGGATGTACCTGCATTTACATTAAGTGGTGAATGAATGGAATCTCAGTGGAAATACCATCACTTACAGGTAGTGCAGCTGTACATTCAGATGACGAGTCCCGAATAGGACGAAATGCACATCCAAGTTTCCACACCGCTATCAGTGATTTCACCGTCAATTAAAAAAAACATCATGTTAATCCTAAGACATCGTTGAAGCGTCCGTATTAGAAGCTATGATGTCAACAGAGGAACGAGCATTTCGGTCTAACACATAATGCATCAAAGAGAAATACAAAGCCAAATTAAGCTATGAAGATGATGTAAATGCGTAGACCACCTGAATTCAGATGAACAGCTCAATAACAATAGAATGATAAATATGAATTGCTCTTACAACTTCATCATCAAATATAATAAGATAATTTTATTTTGTGATGTTCAATTCAACTAACCTACATATTTTAAATAAGAGGGAATCAGTGCTTTTCCGATAGTCGTGTACTTGTCAAAGATTGGAGATGAGGCAGTAACTCATCGAAGAAGACATTGAGAAATGGTAGCGCTATGCCATCAATTGGCAGAAGTTAGAATTCATGGACCATTGGGTTGGGTCCCAGTGGCTCAATGGTCTACGAGCTATCTGGCCTTGTAACCAGAAGGTCCTGGGTTCGAACCCTCTGTGGTGGGTGCGTACTGCTAAAGAGTCCCAAACCAGGACGAAACAGCTGCTGTCTAGTACTCCCTGCAGGTTTTCCAGTGGTTCTCTAACTGATGTCAATCAGCTCATGATGAAATCCCCCATCCAATCAACAACGAAAAAAATCCCTACAACACCAATACTTGAAAAGATATCTCATCGCACTCTTCGTCGTCTTTTTCAGAGTTAGCCTGATCTCTACGAATAGATACACACATTATATATGTAATTAGTCTTTTCTTGTAAATTATAATCCCCACATTATAAGGGGGTGGGTGGGGAGGCTTTCAAACCGGAAAATAAAATGAGAACAAAAAACAACACCGGAGCACCAAAATAATAGTGATTGTACACATCATGAAAGTTTGCAGGGGAGAAAAGAAATATGTATACTCACTTCGAGTTTGCCTCATTACAATTGGAAGAGCAGTAACAATAATAATAGATGCTGAATATAATACTTATTACTAGTGTTGTGTGTGTGTGTGTTAGAAAATAGGTTCACATAGATATGTTGGTTGTTCTAGCTGTTGGTTATTGTCCATGCACTACTCACTGCTGACAAAAATCTGAATAGCGGAAAACACAAAAATGGTGGTGGTGAATTGTGAAAAATAAGATGACGAAGAAGTCGAAGAAGGATGGAATCACTGAATACATAACAAAAATTTCTTTTTATAGAGTAAAGTAAAGTAAAAAAAGAAGGTGAAGGCATTATTTTATATAAAAAGGTTGAGTATGTAATAAGTCATGACACTAATATATATATATATATATATATATATATATGTTGAAAACTGTCTGTAATCATTATATTATGTGTCATGAGTAGCATGAAGTCATCCCGCATTATTCTTTGATATTACAAACAGCATCATGGATAGCTTTAGAAATACGTTCAATATTTTCTGTGGTTAACGCGCACATATTAATACGACCATCATTCATCACATATAAATGATGTTTTGATCGAAGATATTGAACTTGTGATCCTAGTTTTTATTAATTTCAAAAAACAAAAAAAAGAAAAAAATAAGATAGATGAATGAAGGCAAAGAAGTGATGAGAACTTGATTCACAAGAGAATTCAAAATAAACAACTTCCGTATTACCTCCGTATTATCTCTATAGTCTACACCAACGCCGATTGATCTACACGCATCCTAACACCTACCTACTTCTGTTTTTAATCTCACCTTTATTTCGTATAATATCAAAATTTCCACTAGATAACACGAATGAGAGTACACAGTATTGCTGCTTTTTGCGCGTTAAGCCTAAGGGTAATTTACTTGATAATATTTCAAAGAAAGAAAAACAAGTACTCCGGAGAAGATTTTGCAATTAGTAGTGTTCTCTGAGCTGGTTGGTTTAGTTGCGGAGCTTTCGTCGTCCGTCCTTCTGGACAACATCCCCCCTTTCAGATCAATTTTCAGCATTAAGTGAACTGATTTAAATTTTTTCCATGAGTGATAGAATTGCGTCTCCCGGTAACCATCTTTACATATGTATTGATCATTTTTTTAATGACTCAGATTTTAAACTTTCTCGTCACATAATTTGCTTCTTATTAGTTGGTATATTTCGTCTATATTAACGTGTTTGTTAATCGCATATTCGTTTGAGTACCAGGCTTCTAGGAATTCCCTGACTGCACTTTTGGTGTTTCCTCTGTCTAAAATTTCGACATTATCCCAATCACCAAATTGGTGTCCATAATTATCTAAATGCATTGATATGAAACAGGAATATATATCATGTCTTCTCATCACAGCTGATTTGTGTTCCTGGATTCTGATTCGAAGGGGACACCCACTTTAGCCGATGTAATGCCTGTTACAGTTCATACAATTTATTTTGTAAATGGTATTAATTTTATCTCCTTTTTCTGTTGGATTTTTCGGTTTGCACAATATCCATGAATGAAGTGATTGGACTGGCTTCTGTGCTATGTCTACTTCAAACGGTTTCAATATTCTAGCTGTTATTTCAGAGATATTTTTTATATATGGTAGGATGAATTTTCTTGTGGTCTTTGATGATGGTTCCTTGTTGGTGTTGTGATTCGATTTTAAACACTTTTTGATGAAATTGTGAGGGGGATATCCATTCTTTTTGAATACCGTTAGTAGGCATTTTTATTCCATTCTCTTCAACGCTGAAGTGCTACAGTGTGTGTTTGAATTCTTTTAAACAATGTTTGCACTCCGGAGAAGAGACTGTTCTGTTTGTGGCGAATTTACTTTTTCTAACTACCAAAGGCAATAGACACTTTCGCCTACTTATATGGCATCGTTTAGGATTTAGCTCTATATGCAGACGAAGGAACTGGTGCACTTGAACCACTTCTACTATCATGACAATGACTCTTTAATTAATTTTCAGTCAATTCGGTATTTTATTTTTTTTTAGTTTTGTTGTGTTTTCTAACTTTTACCACCGCCTATGAACACAGTTTTTCTTAGTTTCTCTTTATGGATTCTGACTACAACTCACAGTCATACTGAACTTATATATATATATCCCCTTTATTTATTCAGCTTTCTTTATCTATTGATTAATACTAACAATTGTGCGCTTATGACACAATTCATCTTCCCTCTCTCTCTTTCTTTGATTACTATTCACTTATTCACATAGTTCCGGTCTCCTAATACTTTTGTTATTTCCATATCATACATAGTAGGTAGTGTTATTAATTCTTGTGCAATATATAATTGTTGTGGATAGGTTTTGTACAAATAATTTTTACGCCATTTTATTAACAAGGTTACTGTTATCATCGATATATAAAAAATAATAATAATAATGAATAGTAATCAGGAAATGTCTTTCAAGCATAAATCAATAAATTCGTATTTAATAATAACTGCATACAGACTATAGTTTATGTTAAATATGTGATTTTCATGACTTTGAGATTTGATTTATTTGACCAAGTTTGACCAAGGATTGAAATCGATTAGAGAGAGAGAGAGGAATACTACTGGACAGTTGTTTCTAGACAGAAGTCGTGACCAGTGATGAAATTGGTAGAAGTTAGAATTCATGCTTTTACCACCATTGAGTCGGATCCCAGTGGCTGAATGGTCTACAAGCTCGCCTACCTTGTAACCGGACGGTTCTGGATTCCAATCGTCGCGATGGGTACGTACTGATGATGAGTCCCAAATAAGGATGAAACAGCTGTCCAATACTGCCCGCTAATTCTCAATGGTTTCACTAAGTGATATCATCCCGTGGTTAAACTTGAAACAAATATGTGCTTGTTATAAGCTAAACCAGCCACAGTTTTCTCCTCTTAGCTACTGAATGTAGCGACGAAATGAGACAAACCAAGTCAGTATTTGTTAACACTCGCAACTGAAGTTATGTAAGGTACTCGAAAGTCTCAAGTTTTATTTAAGATACACCAAAAGAGTAGACTGGATCATAATCTACAAACAGGATTTAAAGACTTTTCATTTCAAATATTCTTCCTGTTCTGGATCTATTTGAAATCACCCATACCCATTGAGACAGAGTGTGTCAAACGAAGACGAAACAGCTGTTCTACACTCTCAAGTTTCAAATATTTTTCTTGTTCAGATGTAATTTCATAAAAAAGAGAAAATCATTATATGTATCAACAAATTTTAATTCTCCTTCAAATCACAGTATTTTGTGCGTCGGTGGCATAGCGGTTAGGACGCTCGCCGACCATGCACATGATTCAGGGTTCGATCCCCGGCCACTGATGCACTCCTATACCTCGCTAAGCCAGAAATAATGCTGGTGAAGAGGAAAGGTTGGGTATGAGACTGGCAACCCCATCCTGTAAAATAAACACTGCTACAGAAACTTCAAGCTAGAGGTTTGAAGCCCTATGTTCCACTGGGGAACATGAAGGAAAAAAAATCACAGTATTCAGTAGTAATGGTAGAAGATATGAGACTTGGTAACGGAGTAGGTTTATTTGGAATTTGGTACATCTATATCTGTGTAGCGAAATTATGTACACCTTATCTTCAAATCGTCGTTTGCACAGATCGTCTTCCGTGATGTACTACTTCTGCCCTTCCCTCGTATTGTGTTTCTTCGTCCTCCCCATTTTACGTGTCCCATGTTTTGGCCACAATGCTGAATCATTCGCTGTCTTTTTGATGTCAAATCTATCTCCCTGCTCTCTGGTATTTTTATGCCGATCAAAATCTTTATCTATACTACTGATAAATCTTATCAGCAACACACACGCCACACAATGATCTAATCTAACCGATGTTCAATGGTTTCAGGCAATAGACATAAAGTCCTGTCTCAAAGTGCTTTCATGGCATTCTGTATTCTCCAGAAAAATATATATTTGCAAACATCATAGAGGGATATTCGAATATATATATTTCACTAAGTGATGCATTTAGAGAAAAATCTGCCCAGTAGCATCGACTATCTGTCCACTAGCAGATGTGCATACATTCTACCGAAAGGTGTCGACAAGCATGAAACTTAGACGCAACCACTTTGTGCTAACAAAAGTGCACTATCATAATGGTGCACATTACAAAAACGGTCAATAGAACCAATCCAACAATTAGAGTATTAAACAAGATGAAATTAGTTTTGATCAGATCACGGATTGATATCAGTTAGAGAACCATTGTGAAAACAAGAAGGTGTAACAGCAGAATACAAGAACACCGAAGCCAAGGTTTATTTTCAATTGATCAAACCGCTGTTTATATATATACACTTTTATATTTTTTTAACCTAATCACTGATCATGTGATTTTGGTTTACATCAAACGACGTGAATTAGAATGTTCAAATACATATACATAGTATTCCGTTGTTAATGCAATAATTGAACTGTGGGAATATGTGAAATAATAATATTCCGTTGGGATACACATTGTCTGTATCACACACCACCACAAGGGGAGTATTGGACAGCTGACTCATTCTGAAGAGCCCTAAACTAGGACGAAGCGGTTGTCCAAGAGTTCTCTAACTGAAATCAATCAATCTACGATGGAACTTAAAGTTAAATCAAATCCACTTGAAGATGACATTAGTTATTTTCTGTGAGATAAATCAATGAGTGCTTTTCATCACGGTCATCAGATACAGTCTCAATAATATGAATATTTTTGTTCATAAACATTTATCCTACAATAATCCTCTATAACTATATAAGTCTATATTGTTATTTTCCCCTGTTTGGTTTTGAGTTCAATGGAAATCCATCCCTTCAAGTAACAAATAACTACTGATTTTATTTTGTGTCCTATAAACAAATCTGATGCGTATTCACACACAATTTCGCCTAATTTAATCAAAGTCAATAATTTTCCATCACTATTCTACTCTACTCTCTCACAGTGTATGCCTATGCTGCTGCTTCTTATTGATTCAATTTCGCCTAATTTCTATGTCTATGTCTATGAGTGTGGCACCGATGCTCTGTAACCAAACTGACATACACACACACACACAATCAAATAATGTGAGTATGGAGATGATATATGGGGAAAGGCACACCCATCATCTTTGGTTAAAATAATCCCAATCTATAAAACTAAGCTAACAACTAACTAACTACCTTTCATTTCAGCTCATGTTATAAAATCTATAAAGAATTATGATTGGTTAGTGTTTTGTATAGCATCAATAAATATTATAAGAGAGTTTAATATATAAAACTGGGCAGAATCCAATGCGCTGCATAAGAACAACACAACGCGCAACGCCAAATCACGTGAATGGCACGAATTGATCAGAAGGCATAATAAAATAAAAGAGAAGGTGGAGAAGGAGGTTGAGGAGCAGAGAGAACAGTATCCTCTGTATCCCTAAAACATGGGATGCTTGTTTCCCTCTCTCGCTGTCTTTCACTATTTTATTTATTTATGAGAAGAATTCATCGATTGAATTTCTCTCCCTTTATATATCTCACTCTAGTTGTTATCCTACACCCACACACAAAGAGATGATATAGTTTATCACTAGAAATATG